GTCCAATTGTTCTTGTTTCTTTGGTGACCAGGTGAAACAGGTCATTTTGGTATCAACCTGACCTTCCGCCCCCCCCCCCCCACAGGCCACTCTGTTATCAACCTTCCCCCTCCTCCCAACACATGGTTTCTCTGCGTAGCCCTGGTAGACCAGGATGGCCTCAGACTCACAGAGTTCCACCTGCTCTGCCTCCTGAGTGTAGGGATTAAAAGCACGCACCACCACTGCCTGGTGTATTGTCCTGCTTCTTGCTTGGGTTGTAGTCAATGTTTTCTTCAGTCCATCTATTTTCCTCCCTCTTGATTTAACTTGCAGGGTACTCTTTAAGGGCATGCTAAGGAGGAGTACATGAGCATAGATGATCTGCGTTGTTAGGAGCCCAAAAGTGTGTTTGTTCTGCTCTTGTTGGATGCAGGAGTCTGACTGAGCTTCTGGGTTGGAAGCTATTTTCATTCAGAACTTTGAGGGCTTGTTCTGTGGTCATCAGGTAGCACAGATGAAAGGTATGTGCTAGCCTGGTTCTAGTGCATTGTAGAAGAACCTTCTCTTCCGCCAGTGTTCCCTTCTCCTGACTCCACCTTTCTCTGGCATTGCTGTTCTAAATCTTCATTCATTTATTGAGCACAGAACTGCTCTATCAGAATGGTCTCTTCAGCTCCTGATGCTTCTTTTGCAGTACTTTTTAAATTGCTCTTCCTTAGCTTTACCTTTTGAGATAATCTTAATCAGATCACCCTGAATCTATTCTCTGACTTTTTTTGAGTTCACATTTTTTTTCTGTTTCTTTTCTTCTCTTTCAAAAAGATTCCCTTGACCATATCATCTTAGCTTTCCACTGACCGTTTTAAATCACAAAGTATTGATCATATATATTACATATTTCAATACATACTTTGTATTTTGTTTCTTTTTAAATTGAATTCCGTTCTTGTGTATGTACACACACACACACACACACACACACACCGGTATTTTAATTTTCTTGATGATCTGATTAGAATCTTTTTAGGGTTTACTTACAAAAAATTTTTTTTAACCTCATTCTATTTCTTCCATTTCTTGATTACAAACCACTCTTACAACTTTGGTATTTTCCAATTCTGAATGTTTATACTTTGTAGTAGGAGGTTGCATGTTTGTTTCCCGGCCACCCAGACTCCCGAAATAGCCACACAGAAACTGAATTAATTAAATCACTGCTTGGCCCATTAGCTCTAGCTTCTTATGGGCTAACTCTTACATATTAATTTAACCCATTTCTATTAATCTCTGTAACACCATGAGATTGTGGCCTATCAGCAAAGTTTCAGCGTGTCTGTCTCCAATGGCGACTCCATGGCTTCTCTCTGATTCCACTTCCTTTCTTCCAGCATTCAGTTTAGTATTCCCCACCTAGCTCTGTTCTACCCTATCAGGCCAAGTCAGTTTCTTTATTAACCAATGATATTTGCAGCATACAGAAGGGAATCCCACATTAATACTTTTGTTACATATACATGATACATGATGCTATTATATTGCATGTTTTGCATTTTCATTTAAAGGTCTGAGGTGACACCTATTAACCTTCGAATTGATTCTTTTGAAATGTCTTGGGTCTGTTAATGCCCCACAGGTCCCTTTACTGCTCTCTAGTGTTTAATCAGTCAGCTGTCCTCCTGGACATGGAGGTTTAGACTATTCCAACAGCTCACCTGCACATTTGGTGTGTTGGTCTGAAGATACGGTTTCTTCCTGAACACATATGAAAATCTGGATATATCTTCTGTGTCTATTCACAACACTGACTTCTTCAAATTCATTAGGCTGTGGCAAGTTGCTTTTAAAGTATTCGTTTCAATTCATCCTCCTTCTGCTATTAAAGCTGCCAGTCCCCTCCCAACCACTAGTGTCAGAATCAACCCCAAGGTCTTGTGCATACTAAACCACCCCCACCCCACCTTCCAGAGGGCTTTCCTGCTCAGTATACTTATTTATGACTGGTAAATTTCCTCTTTTGCACAGTTGCTAATTGGATTGGTGGAAACCAGGATATCGCTTTTAGTCAACAATTGTTAATAACAGCCAAGTGGAGCACGTCTTTGTGGGTTTTCAAGGTTTTCTCTTTTGTGGACAGAATGAGCATACCTTCCATCCAGTTTCCTATTGAGTTGCTTACTTACTTCATCGATTTATGGAAGCCTGTTTATGTGGAGTAACCTGGGAGTTTGTCAGAAATGCTAGATCTCAAGTTCTATCCCAGAGCTGCGGGACCACAATATTTATCTGAGTGAGGGCCAAGTGATTGGACTGCACGGTTTAGTTTGAGAAACATAATTTAGAGCATTGTGTAGAAGGCTGGGGTTCTGTCTCTTGAACATTTGGTATAATTTTCTCCACAGCCACCAGAAACTTGTGTTTGCTAGTTGTAGCTGCTGTTGTTGGATACAGGCAAAATTTCAACTGCTTATTCAATTTCTTTAACGATGGAATTGAAATAAATCCATTCTGATTTTTAAGTATCTTCTGAGTAAGGGTTATTGGTTCATTTGTCTAGAAAATTGTATTTGCTATTTATAATTTCTTGGTATATCTTATGAAGATATTCATATTAAGATTTAAACTCTCTGCTCTATGCAAAGCTGTGTCTCTGTTTTCTGAGTTTTCTTCTCCTCCCTCCCCCTTCCCTCCCTCTTCTCTCGCCCCCTCCCTCTTCTACTCTTTCTGGTGTTTCTGGTTTATTGAATTGTTGGCTTACAGTATTCTCATTAATAACTAAGTAAGTGAAAATAGCTGTTAATTTCTGCCTTTATCTATCTTCTTACTTCAAATTTCGGATTCCTTTCCAATTCTTTAAGAGGAACCTCTAGCTTTTTAATCTTTCCTTTTTTAATGACTTTGACATTTAAGGCTGTATATTTCTGATGAATAGCTATTGTGGTTGCATCTTATGTGTTTTGATGTGTTCTGTTTTGATTGTCCTTTATGGCCAAGTGTCTTCTAATTTTCATGTTTATTTCTTTTTGACCTGTGAGTTATGTGAAAGTCTTTAAATGTATGACCATGTAGGATATGCTAAAAATACTTCTGAAGTATATTTCTAACTTAATTACCCAAAGGCTCAAGTGCGTGGTCCAGGTGATATTATCTCCTTGGTATTTGTTGAGCCTCCTGTTCCAGGATCCCGCTCATGTTCTATTGCAGACACATTGTGAATACTTGAAAAGAATGTGTGCTCACCTCTTAGTAGGTGCAGTCTAGCCTGCTGGCTGTATTTTTCTAGCCTTTTGTCCTAGCTCTTCTTAATTGGCTTAACCTATCAGTTGCTAAGCACTGTGTTGTAATTGTCATTATGGTTTTAAATAGGTAAATTTTTCCTTCAATTGAGTAGCTTTGGTTACACACACACACACACACACACACACACACACGCACACATTTTTTTAAGGTAGTGTCTTTTCATGTATGCTAGGCTGGTTTCAGACTTGTAGTCCTCCTGCCTCAACCTTCCAAGTGATAAAAGTACAGGTACCCATGCCTAGCTGCTTTATGCATGTATTTTAATGCAGAGCTGTGCTGAGGCAGAAGATATTGTGTTTCAGGCTAGCCTGGGATATAGTGAGACACTATCTCAAACCCCAGCCAATCAAGCAAAAAGGTTATATTACCAGCTTCATATTTGATATTTTAGCACTACTATATATTTCGGACTACTATATATTCACAGCAATGGTTCCCTTTAATTATGTGATATCTATATGTTTCAATAACATACAACAAAATAATTGTGCTTTGGTGTTTTTTAGATTGGAATATGACTGGGATAGCCCTTTCTAATTTTTTTCAAATTTTTCATGTCCTTATTTTAAGTACTCATTTGAAAGTCATTTAACAGGTAGCATTTATGTGTTTAAAAGTCTCATATATCTCTTGTTGTCCTCATATCTGCTCTATAGCCAAGGGTGGCCTTGAACTCTTGATCCTCATGGCTCAACCTCCCAAGTGCTGGGCTTGTAGGCATGTGCCCCCATGCCCAGTTTATGTGGTACTGGGTATTGGATTGATTTGTTCATCTTGGAAAGCATTCTAGCCATTGAGCCACATCTCCAATTCCTCTTTATTTATATGTTTACTTAGACAGGGTCTCATATATCTCAGGTTGGCCTAGAAATTGCCATAAAACTGAGGATGACCTTGTATTCAAGCCCTCTCTGTCTCTATCCTCCTATTGCCAGGATTGCATGTGGGCTTGCATCACCATGCCCAGTTAATTTATTTATTTTATTTTTTTTAGAAAACACTCATGTTTAATGGCAGTCTCTGCTTTTTAAAAAAGGCTTTATACACTGTATACACATTTACGTGGCTTTGGAAGGTACCTGTACTAGGAAGAGCCCCCCCTCAGGAAGAAATGGCCCCAGGGAAGACTGTGAGGTATGTGGGGCCTCTGAGGTTTATTGTCTCTGGGAGGAAGCAGCTGCCTCCCTGGCTGGCTGGCTGTGCACCTTTTGGCCAGGAAACACATCTCTGACTCACCTACCAGAAGATATTCAGTCCAGCATCTCCCCAGAGCTGACTTATCAGAAAAGATACTGCCCTGAGGCCCAGCTGCTTGGCTGGGAAAGAATGGTAGGTACCCTGGGCATCTCGTCACCACCACCACCACTCACAGGAAACCTCATTACAAACACAGAATGCTACTGTGGTCCCTGCATTCATGTGGAAGTTCTGCTTCGAGGGGCAGAGATGGAGGCCTTGGGCAGCCCAGTTGGCCATAATCTACCTCAGTGGGATATTGTTGGCCCAAGACTGACCTTATTTTTAAGTCATGCCAAAGCCTTTGCCCCGTATGAGACAATTGCTAATAGGTGACCATGACCAGCATGGCCATCCCTACAAATGGTCCCATACTACTACCCACTCCCCTGAGGAGACATAGGCTCTGTCTGTTCCAAGCCTGAAGCCCAGAGCCACAAAGATGGAGGCTGTGGGTCTCTGTAATGACATAGGTGGCCTGGCAGGGGTCACTATCCCTGAGTGCATCCAAGGTGTTGTCAGCGGAAAGTATTGGCAGGCTCTGCACAGTCAAAGAAGTCAGGGCCTATAAGGCGAGGAAAGCCCTCCAGAACCTTCACCTTCACAGGATCAAACTTCCAGTAGAGTTGGCCACGCAGGAAGTAGGCATACCCCTCAGCATCCTGGAAGGCAGCGTTGATCTCAGAAGGTACCCCTCGCCAGTCAGTGGCACGTTGGGGCACAGGATTGTCTACATGTTGGGTTTTGGGGTGGAAACGCCAGTAGTCTCCACCTCGGAAGAAGTAGATCTTGTTCTTCTACGGACCCCAGACCAGGGCAGCATGGACCAGGGACCCCTGCAGGCCCAGCTCGGAGAGTGGTGCAGGGCCTAGGAATGGCTTCTCACCATCGTATACCCAGTACTGAGCACCTTGGAAGAACCAAATATGACCCTGGGCATCCTCAAAAGCTGCATCCACAGAGCTGGGCAATCCTTGCCAGTGCCAAGAGGCCAGAGCAGGATACCCAGGCTGCAGCTGCCCACTGCACAGCCTCCACACAAAGCCGGCTTTGAAGAAGAAGCACCATGCACAGTTTATAGCAGAAGACTTTAGGCCACTTTCATTTTTGTGACCATCAGGAAATAATCAGTGTTTTATCAGGCTGAATATCATTATTTTATCTTGTGTCTTATATTCACTCTGTATTCCCGTTACTGTGTCTGTTTACCAAGCTCTCCCAACCTCGGGGGTCTAAGACAGCATTCCGACATGCTCACAAGTTCTCCACATGTTTGGGCCCTCATTTGGAGTCACAACGGCTGATATAATCCCAGGACTTATTTACTTATATGTGTTAAAAAAGAATTACAGGAAACCATAGTTTTGAACTAGACTCCTGTGCTGTACCCCAGTAGACCAGACTAAAAATCAAAGAAATGGTCAGTGCCTGACGTGATAGAGACAGCGCTTACCCTAATCCCATCATTATCCACTGTGCACAAGAGCGAAGTGTGGCGTCCCAGGAATACGTGCAATCACTGCATATCGGCTAAAAATAAGACCGCATCGAAAACAATCCAAATAAAGAGATCACCCGTATTGAAGTTTCAAGTTACCAAACCAAAATGAAGTCATTTCCTGACCATCAGAAGCCTTGGGAGAACGAAGGCCACCCAAATATTCTAAATAGTTGGCACAAGGACATCCTTTCTGTTTAAATCCTGTGTCCTTTAAACTCTTAAAAAGTAACCTGAAGTTGACAATTATTTCCCGATGTTCTGTCTCTCTATGCCTGTTTTACTAGGAAAGGAACTTTCAAACAACTGACGACCCTTTGTCCTTTGTTTCTGTTTTTATCTCTGTCTGTAAAGTCAGCCCCTATGCCTAGACCATTGGAACATGCATTCTAGTTTATGGAATGAAGTATTGCCCAATCCTAGAATCATAAAATAAAGCCAAATAAGCTCTCTTGGTTGTTGTAGTTTTGTTCTTTGGCATATGTCTGGTAGTTGAAGGTGGCTGGGTGCTGAGACCTTAGCGGAATTTATCAGTTTGTGTGATGCATGGTTAATCTTTCTGTATAGCTGGGGTCCTCACTATGTGTTGGCCAAGTCTGAGGCCAGTCTGGTCTATAGAGTGAGATCGTGTGTGTGTGTGTATGTGTGTAAGGAGTGAGAGAGAGACTTGGAGAGAGGGATGGGGAAGGGTAGGAGGGAGGGTGCTTCCCAAGTTCAAAGGCAGGAGCAAAAAGGTTCTACCTGTTGCTAGACAAGGTCAAGTTCTAGAAAAGCCTGTGAGATCAGACATATTATTGGGTTATTTTTCATAAAGTTCAATCTAGCAACTTAATTTTTGTTTGCGTCCTTTTTCCCCCCTTAGCATTCTGTTGGAATGACTGAGGTTTGTAAAAATTATCCCCACACATCCCGCCTACTATTCTGGGAGTTATAGACTCTTTTATTTTTTAAACAAATACCTTTAAAATGTATGTATTTATATTTCACACAAAATACAAAGCGAATCACCCTATGTCGTTCTCCCCATCTAAAGAAAGATGTCAGAACTCAATGAATGCCCACCTCTTCCTCAATTTACATGTTAGGTTGTTGGAAGATTAATCCCCCTTCAATGTATAACCCCGGTAATTATCACATAATTTGTTTTTGTTTTTAATAGCATAGCCTGTTTCAGACTATTGGCATGAGCCCTGCTCTGCATTATGCTTTTATCGGGCTTTCTGGCAGTTACTCCATTAGAGCATCTTCCTCAAAGCTCTATAGACACTTTCCTTAAAAATACATATCTAAAATGTCTTTACTTCACTTTCGCTCTTGAAAAAAATGCTTTAGCAATGCCTACAATGAAGGCTGCTGGCTCTTCTCTCTTGGAACTGTAGCCTGAGCCTTCTGGAGCCTGCTGCTCTCCAGGAACCCGCAGGCAGCGGCTTTGTAGGAAACACACACCTTTCATCTTGCTTGTTCCAGGGGTCCTCTAGCCTTTGCTGCTCTCTGGCTTTGCAGCAATGTTGCCAGGCAAGCGTTTAGTGCCGCGGATCAAGTACAAGGATCTCCAGTTCTGGAAAGTTTCTGACTATTATCGCCAGAATACGGTCTCTTCTGTCTAGGTGCTCTTTTCCCATTTTCACCTACCATGTATATGCTGAACCTATGTATGGGTCATTTCCATCTCTTAACAGCTAAGAGGTTTGTTTTTTTTAATTTCTTTATATTCTGGGAAATTTTATATGGTTTATTTTATACTTCTCCAATTCTTTTGTTTGCTTGTTTTATTGATTTTTTTTTCTGTTTGTTAAATGGATCTCATTATATAGGCTAAGAACTTTCTGTGTAGACCAGGCTGGATTTGATCTTGTGATCCTTCTGTCTCTGTTTCCCAGGTATTAGGCTCACAGGCTTGTACCACCACACCTGGTCATCACACCTGGTCACCACACCTGGTCATCACATCTGGCCATCACACCTGGTCATCACACCTGGTCGTCTCACCTTGATGAATTCTTCAGCCGTGCTTGAATGCCCTTGTCTTCTTCTTTTCCTGAGATACAGCCTCCTCTATCCTCACGCTTGCTGTAGCAGAGGCTAGCCTTGAACTCCTAGTACCCCGCTAAGACCTCCTAAGTACTGGGATCATAGGTACAGCACAGGTTTGTACCATCACAACCAACTTAATATGCTATTTAAGTTTTCCATTGAATTTTAAACTTCAGTAACTATGTCTTTTCTTTCCAGACTTTTGGGAGACCAAACTTCTTGTCCTGCCTTTTCAGTGACTTTCATGGTTTTAATTCTCTCTTTTATACCTTCCTCTATCCAAGAAATAGAATATTTCTACTACCCAGAGTCCTCTTCTTTTTCTTTCTAGTCACAGCCCATTCTCTTTTAAAGAAAATGATTGCCTCAACTTTGAATATGATCATTTCTTCTTGTCCTTTTTAACTCTTTTTGTTGTTGTTGTTTTGTTTTTATTTTTTGAGACAAGGTTTCTTTATGTAACAGCCCTAGCTGTCCTGGAACTAGTACTGTAGACCAGGCTGACCTTGAACTCACAGAGATCTGCCTGCCTCTGCCCCCCCCATCACAGAGCGAAATCCTCAGCCTACACATCTATGTTTTCCAGGTGGTTTTAAAGTTTTGATTGTAAACTTGTCTTTAAAGTGTCTCTGGAATTCTGGAGACGTTTATATAAGGATATGATATCCTATGGACATTTTTGTTTGCCTGTTAGAAGTCTCAATACGTCACTAACCCAGACCCAAATTTTAAATGTAATAGAGTCAACTCATTACTTCTGAGTTAAGACACTAGAATAAAGTCAGAGGCCAAATCTGCAAGCAGAGTGGTTTGTCAGTCATAAGTTACCTCAGGAGAACTTGAAGAAATCAAGGCAGATCAACTGTCTATCATCCTTCTCACCCAGCAGCAAGCATATTTCTATCGAGTTCTTTCATAGGACGTAATCATTTGTAGGTGAAGGATCTACCAAAAATCTCACTCCACTTCAGAAAACCAAATGCCTCTACCAGTCCCTGGGTCCCCAGTGAGCCTTATCCCCATATGTTTGGTCCCACAGCTGTCAAGGTGCTGCAGGAGCGACAGTGTCAACACATGTGATTCCTGCTCTAGATTCTTCTGTGTCTGGCTCGCAGGTAAGTTGTACTTTCGTAAAGGTCAGTTATGCATTTAAAGGATGCTTGCCTTTCTAGGTCATTGTCACGGACATTCCGCTGTGACTTTGTGGCTATCTGGGCCATTGCATTGCTGGAACCAACAAACAATCTTGCCCTTCTTCCTCAGTTTTGAATCCCACCAAGAGCGTCCACTGTGTCTTTCTTGCCAGTGCCTGAAGCCTGCTGATCTGGTTTGAGGGCAATCTTGGCTGTTCCTGAGACTAAGAACCCTCTGGGTCCAGTGCCTGCGGAGTTCTGGGGTTGGACCAGCTGGCTCCCTGTCGGCCCTCTTCTTCACATGCTTCCACCACTCACCTTCTGTCTTCTTGAAGCCGTTCACATCTTTGATGACCGTGGTCTTCTTTTCTGCTCTTTTGGTTCTTGTGAATTTAGAGTTTTCTTTTGTGTTTTGCTTTCATTTCAATAAAAATTCAATGGTCTGTGTTACCACTTGAGGCCATGTTGATGTCCAGAGTCCGTGCTGCCACCAAGGGCCATGTTGAGGTCTGTGGTCCGGCTGCAGCTGGGGGCCGTGTTGATTTCTGTGAACTGCGTTACCACCAAAGGTTATATAGAGCTCTGTGGTCTATGTCACATCCTGGAGCCATGTTGGTGGCTGTGGCCCATGTTGCCCCAGAGACTACAATGTTGCCCCAAAAGCCACCTTGATTATCAGTGGCCTGTTCTGTCTCTGAGAGATGGCCCATGATGGTGTCTGTGACCCACACTATGGCAGAGGACCATGTTGCTGTCTGTGGTCTGTACTGCTTCCGAAGACCATGCTGAGGCCCTGTGGCACGTGCTAATGCAGGAGGCCATGTGGATGTTTGTGGTTCGAGCTGTTGCCAGAAATTATGTGAAAGTCCATGATCCGTGCTCCTGATGACTGTAAAGTAGGCAGGGAAGCTACTTTTTCAGTGTTACTGATGACTGCAGACTCACAGTGGAGTCAGAGAAGGCATCTGTGACAATCCCTCCCCCTCCCCGCACAAAGGTCATAGCCTAGGCTGTTGAAGAGAACTCTTAAAAACTGTGATATGGTGGCACAGGCCTTTAATCCCAGCATGCTTTTAATACCAAGCAGAAGCAGGCAGATCTCTGTGAGTTTGAGGCCAGTCTGCTCTACAGAGAGAGTTCTAGGACAGTCAGGGCTACAGAGAGAAACCATGTCATAAATAAATAAATAAATAAATAGATAGATAAATAGTGATAACAATGCTGAAGTGTAGCTCTCCATAACTGACGGTCTCTGGCAGGGGTGTGAGTGGGGAAGAACCCGATTTTCTTTAAGAGGCTGACCACTGGGGCGTTGACCATGCCCCACTGAATATATGGGCAATGCATTTGAACTTTTAAATTTATTTGTCTTTTTTCCACTTCCTTCTTTATTTGGGGGGAAGGAGTGAGGTCACAAGGGTGGGGCAGACCTGGGAGAACTGGGAAGTGAGTGTGATCAGGGTTGCATTATGTGAAATTCCCAAAATAATCAACAAAATTCCGTGTTAAAAAAAAACCTGTAATTCAGGAGGGAGAGAAAATAAACACAAGCCTCATTTTCCATGTTTATATGTTATTTTGTCTTTATGTTTCTTGCATTGTAAATGAGTTTGCCCTCTTGAACATATGTTCATTTCCCAAGTCTTCTTGCTTCATAAAAACCGTTATTTCCGTCCTTTGCCTGCTTCGTTCGCTCCCTTCTCCCCAACCCCCTCTGTACTGGCTCCTAGAAGGCTCCGATCTAGTTACATACTAATTGTTTATTGTGAAGACATTAACACCTTGAAATACTGAACACCAGTACTTTTTTTAATCCTCGTTCTTCCCAAAAGCTATTCCTCAGTTTGCTGACGTCCGTGGAGTCTGATACACTGCTCATTCAACCTTTCGAAACTTCAACAGGGGCTCAGAGAGGACGCAAGCTCCTGTACTGGTCAGCCTTCTGTCATGGATACAAAACCGTCAAGATAAATGACATCAAAGAGCGAAGATGCATTCTGACTCACAGTTTAAGAGATTTCAATGGAGCCAAGCTTAATGGCTTCCTTGCTTTGGGACCCGTAGGCGATCAGAACATCATGGTGGGCAGTGAATGACAAGCAAAGCTATTGACTTCACGGCGGATGGGAAGGAGGTGGAGAGACTGGAGTCCTAACATCCCCCACCAAGGGTGTTATGACAACCTTCTCCCACTAGGCTCTTCTTCTTAAAGACAGCATACAACCCAGTAGTAACATGGACTGGGGGCCAGGCTTTCCACCCACGGCCTTTGGAGCCCATTTCTGACCCAAGCCATAACATTCCCCAAACGCCTCTCTGGCGGCAGCTTCGGGTTGGGACTACGGAGACCGGAAGCCCTAATGGAAAGCAGAGAGCCGGAAATGGGAGTTTTTATTTGAACAGGTCATCTGTTAGTACATGGATAATTGAGAATTGACTACAAGTGAAATCGACAAAAACAACCTCTTAATTATGTACCAATAGACCCCATCGTTCACTGTGGGCAGGAAAGCAATTCCCACGCTGGCTCTTAAAGGCGGCCTCACTCCCCCTCTTCCTTGAGATCTTGCACTTGTGACCTGCTCTTCCGGCGAGTTCTCTTTAAGACCCATTCCTCTCCGGATGCCTAAAGTGTTGAAGGCAAAGCCGCAGCCTCTTTACTGCTGCCTGAGTTCTTGAGCCCCCAGTCGGCATGTAAAGAGGAGGCAGTATACATCTCCGGCGCCTCTGATGGTGGCTGGCATGATGCTTGATAGCAGAATTTCTCAGACAACAGGCTCGGGCTGGGGAATTTTAATATTGTCTCTCCCTATAAGTAATTTCCAATGTTTATGCTCTGTGGAGCCCCTTTCGCGTGTCAGAGCAGAACAAATGCCAGTTTTAATGGACTTGCTAAATCATAAAAACTGCTTGCAAAATTGCATCTGATTAAAACAAGAAAATGGTCCATTATTCAGAAAAATCTCCCTGCAGAGGCTCACAGGGTGGCTGAAGGTGGAGAGATGCAGGGAGTGCCCGGATACTGTGGCATTTCTCTCTCCACGGGAAGGAGGGAGCTCCTTTCCCCATCTTTCCCCATCCTCCACTCTCCTCCTCTCTTCTCCGCAGGTCCTCAGTCCTTCTACCATCTGTGGTGAAAGGAAAACTGACATTAATCATTTTGTAATTAATTTATATGACAACACGTTATTAGCAGAGGCACAGCATGTATGACAAGGTACAGCCAGTTTAGAAGACGGTGGCATGGGGGTAGGGAGTACTCTGAATTCCCCGGGTGGCCCATTGCTCGGTGGCCTCTGTGGTGCAAGGACCAGTACAGTGGCTGTGGGAAAACCCTGCTCTGCCCAGCTGGACCAAGATCTCTTGGCTAGCAATAAAATATATATTAAAAAAGGAAATTGAATTATACCACTGATAAAAGCCACTCAGTGGAGTGGCACTTATATTGAATTAGCAGTCGGGTCTGATTTGGCCATTTAACCTAATAGCTAGATCAGCTGACAGATGACATCAAAACTAAGGATGCTTCATGTATAGATAAGTATCTCTAAGCCTGGAGAGGAAGCAGAGCAAAGATGTACGAGATTGAGGGATCTCCATCTGTGGTGAGCCGGGGAACATAGCTGGGGAAGGGGCAGGGAACTCAGCCTCAGGTGAATAGCAGGGTTGGGGAAGGAAGGGCATCATAAATGGCAGCCAGGTCTGTAGATCAACCCTGTTTGGTGTTGTTCTGTCCACAAAACCAGAAAGCCAGGCTGGGTGAGTCTTTCCAAGGCCAGGGAGGAAGTCTGTGCTAATGAGCTCCTTCAGTATCCAATACCACAGAAGAAGCAGCTGTAATTCTTATCGTCCATGATTCTTTGGGGGTGTCTAGGCTGGGATCCACAGACCTTCCACGTGATATCAGGTTGGATCATCCCTGAGACCATGTTTATCTAAGGGCTGGAACATCCATATGGCTTTGCTGGCGCATCTGGCATCTGGAGTAGCTGGCGGGATGGCCAAACCTCTTCCTTGTCATGGGACCCACGGATCTATGAACCCACTGTTTTACAAGAACATCTCACCATGCTTATCACAACGCCTATCAATCAGCTTTCCATTGCCAACAGTGTAATCCTACAGACTGGGTAGGCTTTGTGGAAAAGAGACTTATTTAGGTTCATGGTCCTGAGGGTTTAAGGTTGATTGAGGCCTGAGTCTAGTGTGGGCCTTTTTGATGGCAGCATCCAGAGGCAGCACAGATCATTCTAAGGTAAGAGCAGACTGTAAGCATGCAGGCTGTTTCAGTTAGACTTTCCATTACTTCAGTGAAACACCATGACCAAAAAGCATGCTGTGGAGGAAAGGGTTTAATTGGCTTACACTTTCGTATCACTGTTCATCACTGAAGGAAGTCAGGACAGGAACTCAAACAGGACCTGGAGGCAGGAACTGAAGCAGAGGTCATGGAGGCTGCTGTTTGCTGGATTGTTCTTCATGGCTTGTTCATCTGCTTTCTTATAGAACCCAAGACCACCAGACCAGGGATGAACCCACCCACTATGGGCTGAACCATTCCCCACCAATCATTCATTAAGAAAATACAGGCTTGCTTATAACCCAATCCGATAGAGGCATTTTCCTAATTGAGCTTCCCTCCTTTCAAATGACTTCAGCTTGTGTCAAGCTGACTTAAAACCATCCAGCACAAGTGACCCATTGTCAACTTGATACACAAACACATCACTGTTAAGCCACAACCTTTCTTTTCTCACTCAGCCCCAAGATCTCACATTAAAAAATATAAATAACTTTTAAAAAAATCCCATCATCTTTACAAATTCAAACACATTAAAAAGTTCAGTTTCTTAAAAATAGCCAATCTCTTCTAAAATCCAAAGTCTTTGAAAATTCAAAGTCTCTCAAGTACGGGCTGCCGTAAAAGTAAAATAAAAAAAAAAAGATAAACACTTTGTTACTTCAAAAGAGAAGAGCCAGAGCACAGTCACAAACAAATCATAGCAAAACCAAACTCCAGAAGTATAGATAACTCAATGTCCATTGTCTGGGATTCAGTTATGATCTTCTGGGCTCCTCCGAGGAAGGGGTTTGGGTCACTCTCCAACTCTGCCTTCTGTGATCACACAGATTGTCTTCTAAGCTCTGCCTGGTTCCACTCCTCTGTTGCTGCTGCTCTTGGTGGTTGTTGTCCCATGGTCCTGGCATCTCCAAAACCCGGGGGTCTACTGCTGCACCCGGGCAGCTCTTTCCCCAATAGCCTCTCACAGGCTCTCTTTATGGTGTCAAACCTCAAATTTTCTGCATGACCCCTTCAATCCTGGGCCTTCAATGGCGACTGAGGCTGTACCTCCACCAATGGCCTCCCCTGGCCTCTCAGAGTGCCGAGTCTCAATGGTTTTCGCGGACTCCTTCATGCCTTCAAAACTGGCACCAGCTGGGTGGCTCCTACGCTATTAAGTTCTGCTGCCCGCATGAGCTACAGCTTCGGTTGCCTCTGGACCACAGCCCTGTGTGTGCCCTGATTCTGAGGAAACACTTCTCAGAAGATG